AGTCGATCAACTTTTAATCAGAGGATTTAATTTGCTCGATTTGCATCAGATCTATTGACTGCAAATCATTTAGTTTTGCTACAAAACTAGTTATATGTGTAGGTACAGTAGCTGCCTCCTGATATCGGTCTTAACTTCGCGACATAATTATCGTTACAGAAGGAAACGTAAGAATGATTTGTAAACTCTTTTCTGCTTACTTACCGCAACCACGCAACGTTCTTGATTTGCATAACTCTAAAATATTATTTTTAGTAACATTGGTTGTCATGGAAGTGGAAGTCCGTGGAGAAAACGAAGCTTATTTCAAGGTATCGTTTTGGCGTATTACGTACTTGCGACATTACTAAGTAAATGTGATTACATCGTTCAGATGCGCAGCACTATTTATTTGCTATTATGTAGATTATAAAAGTATGGTTGTGATTGTAGGCAACAGTTCAGAGTGTCCATCCAGATGGTGCCCAAGTCACGTTTGAAAATGAGTATGTTAAAAGTTTAGCAGCGAATGAACTCTAATCTGTTGATTAAGCGCAATGCCTCCGAAGTTTGTTTCGTATGATATGATACGACTACCTTCAGCGCCTTCTGCATCGAAAGTGGCGTTCAAGGAGAACGACTTTGTTGAGGTATTAATTGTTTTTTAATTTCGTTCTAAAGAATGTGATATGTTCTTGTAAAAGTGCTTTTGCCAAATTTAACGTTATGTTAAACGTGCCTGTGAAGGCTGTTTCCCGAATTTGCCTTTGCGGCGGGCGAATGCCTAAATCACAGATTCGTGCAGGAAATCTCATAAACGGAAATGGTGATGGTCGAAACGAGCGAAATTAAACTCGTGTTCAGACCGTCTTGAAGTATGATTCTGTTTCAGTGGGAGAGCGCACCGGTTTCTGGGTGGGGAGCACTTTTTTGATCTGTTCATGTCAAAACTTCCACCTCAAAATATTATACGACTATACGTAAGATGTAGATGTGATTTGTTGAGAAGTTTGCGTGAATGAAATTTGGATTAAAATTGAACAGTTATAAATTTACCTTAGTGGAACGAAACGGCCTATCGTATCGAACGGTATTTTGTCTATCGCTAAGGCGCCTTCTTGCAGTGCATTACGTTATTTCTTGTTCACGATATCTGTTTCTTGATAGTGGTATTCACACTTCGTTCAGGATAGCTCTTAAACTTGCCTGGCTTAAAGTTGCTAATTCGCTTTTTTCGTGCAGGTTTGAGAGTGTTTCAGAAATGTTACGATCGTGAAAAGTTTCCAGCATAGTATTAAGCTTGCAGACGCGCAGGAACCGATTCTGCATGCGTCCCTCAGCGAAGATTTGAAAATTAGAACTGCTGCAGTGAATCAGTTTTGTCGTTATCGCCAGGTGTTGCAGTGTGGCATTTTAGCATCACCATTGGCACCTTTATTTCTTTCAAGGTTCCACAAAGACTACGTTGCTATCTGGTTTGCCTTCTCGTACAGTCGTTCACAGTTGCAGACTGTTCGATTCAGTCATGTTCATTATACTTATATTTTCATGCTGTTGTTTAACAGGCTGCTGCAGGAAGCATCGGTTGCCAATTCTTGGATAAAACGATTCTTCCTCGAAAGCAGGTTTCTCTGTTCTGATCTTGTTTCTTTCCATTGCATGTTCCCCTTCTTGAAAACGTAAAAAGAGATACCCTTTTGTGACTGTTGGACTCTTTTTTAATAGTTTGTCAGGAAGACGTTATCTTCCTCTGATCTTATTTGTTTTGCAACTTGGGTCAGCTGAACTTTCGGTTGAACGGTTTCAGCTCTTGATGTCAGTTTACTTACTGGGGACAGTAACGAGGAAGCAGTAATCGGCCATATAACAACGATGATCTGACGGAAACGAGGCGAAGCATTTTTGGTGGAAGATTCGTGATTAGTGGGCAGGGAATCTCCCTGTGTAAGTCCAGATGGCGATCACTAGTAACGATGAACTGTTGGGGTTGTCTACATGATATTGCTGTGTACATGGTATTGCACTCATGTTTCAGTTTGCGGATCCACCTGGTGGACCACATTTCTTGTACCTTAATAAAGTAGCGTAAGACACGGTTTATTTATACACAACGCAGAAAATACTGTAGGCAGTCCACTAACCGACCAATACCAACGTTTCGGCTCGTGTCTCACGGGCCTTCCTCAAGGTTGGTCAGTGGGAGAAATTTCGTAAATGTGGTCGGTCGTCCACAACAGTCGAGAGTTTCGGAGCCTGAAGGCCCGTGACTTTTAGTAAACTGTGTTTTACGCTATTTTTTCAGTATAACCATCAACGCACGAACGAATTACTTTATTCTTGTCCTTTTCGAATTCTTTGATTGGGATCGGGTCGGATTACTTCTGCTTCGATGGGAGCCGTGTGGTGAAGATAAACAGGTGTAACGTCATATTCTTCGGCGTCCTTTTCTATGTTAATTATGTTTGGCTACACGAACTTTTGTTGCAATGGAGATAGGGTATTGCAGTCAGCTAAATATTTGTTTTTCTGTTAGGGAACCAAAAAAACAATCGTTTCTAGTTACGTAAATCTTAGTTGAAATTTAGTCAGCCTTATTTAGTTTTGAAATTTCCAGCAAAAGCACAGTAAAATTGTTATCTCTTTCGAGTGTTCATAATGGTATGGTCTGTTAAGTAAGTAAACGGTATACTCTGAAGCGAGAAGCTTTACGGTTATCTTGAAGATGAGATAAGGGTGTAAAATGTTTCACAGAAAGAAGGTCTAAGTACAAGCACTAAATTATAGTAAAACTTCTGTTTCTGAAATAAGCTGTCGAACAACTTCATAAAATATCGAAGATGGAAATTCTGTATTTCTTTGCAATTAATTCCTTCGCCAATGTGGTACTGCCACCCGACTCACGTTTTGGCCTGCATTGCATTATGTACTCCATATAAAAAGAAGAAAAACAACAGTTTGTAACCGTTCGGGTTTCTGTCACTTTTGCATTATTTGACAAGTATAAATCTGATCCTTCGTTTATAATAACGACGAACTTCTTGCGTATGTTTTATAAAGTTCTCTCTGCAGGATTCCCAGTTGCTGACATTCAAAGTGGCGCAACAGATCCTACTTTCTTTTCTTTCATCTTCATCTTTCATGGCAGTTTCTAATCTCGGGTCATGAAGGCAGATGCGTCAGGCATAGCTTCCAACGTTCGCAATTCCGTGCCATAGTCCGAGCTTCGGCAAAAGACAGATGGAGTCTGGAACAGACTCCTTCCATATATTTGCACCAGGTTAATCTTGACCGTTCCCTGGGCCTTCTGCCGGTCGGATTCGCAAGAAACAGTTGCTTAGCCTTCCTTTCTGGAGGCATTCGCAACACATGGACAAACCATCGCAGCTGTGACTTCTCAATACGGAAAAACAAAGGCCGCACATCAAGGCTCTTCCGAATATCAGTATTCCGGACCATGTCGAGACTCGTAAGGCCAGCGACTCGTCTATGAAAGCTCATTTCAGCAGCTTGTACCCGGGTTCGAAGTTTGTCAGTCATGGTCCACGACTCATGACCGTAAGTAAGCATGGGGATGAAGATCGACTTGAACACCGAGAGCTCAGTTTTCAGACTCAGCTCTGCTTTAGTCAGAATGGGTCGGGCTTGTTCACGCAGAACGCCACTGGCTACTCCAATTCACCGATCGATCTCTTCCTCCAATTTTCCATCACTTGTAACTACAATTCCGAAGTACTTGAACTTCTCCACCTGTACCAGTATCTCCTTTAATCTGAAGAGACCAACGGGCACTAGAACAAGAAAGCAGTAAGCTTTTCGTTTTAGGTGCGATCATACGCATGTCGGTCAGGCCTCACTCAGCTTCTAACCTTTCAACAGACCGCTGGAGATCAGTTTCAGAGGATGCCAACGAAAAGAGATTCTGCACACTGCAACCTTCTCTTC